AAAACCAGGAACAGAAAAAGTGAAAAGTTATTAGCATTAAACGTCAAGTTGTTATGACAGACTTAATATTTTCATTTTTATTGCTTTTGTTTTATTGACGAATGTTGAAAATGTTTCTAATTGAAATATAGGTACATTTATACAAGTATCTAGTACTAAATGTTCAAAGAGGAATATTTTTAAATACTTGTATTTTAATGTTAATACATAAATACAAAGTACATTAACATTAATTCGTATATATTTAATGTTAAAATATTTTTTTACTCTAAGAGTTTTTTTGAAGGAGAAACATCCACATCCTCAGTTTAGTCCCTAAAAAGGCGAAATTTCAAAAAAGTACCACACACGATAAGTATTAAAGTTTTGTTGTACCTTTTTTTAGTTTAGGAGATATGGAGTTACCGATATTTACCCCTAAATTTTCAAATTTCTAAAAATTTAGTCTTGAGTGAATCTATTTGTTGTGAGACCAATGATTTGCCCAAATTTCGATTTCTAGCTTCAACCCTTTGAACTGTGAAACGATGATTAAGTCTGTTTATGTGTATTGTTTATATGTATTAGTGTATGCTATTATAATTAATTAATTTATTTCATTTCCTGCTTTAGGCAATACTTATTTATAAATTGTCACAATAAAATGTCCACCAAATCATTAAACAAAAGATTTTTATAACCCTTTTTCACACCTCCATCTGTTTCCCACCAAAAAAAAAAGTAATTCATAAAATAATTGTCGTTTTAACTATTGTCTTAAACAACCTATAATAAAAAAGCACAAAATAGACAATGACTTTTTTTATAAAAAAAATAGAAAAAAATTCTATGAATATAATTTTTTTGTTCCAAGAATAATAACATTTAATACTGCATATAAAATCAATTAATACAGGTGTTAAATTGAAATTTCTCTTTTTAAAAAAAAGTTCTACTTTTATAGAATTTTAATTGAAAAAGTACAATATAATTAATCATTATTTTTATGCAAACACACGATGACTTAGATGGACATAATGGTGGAAGGAATAACAATATTAAACTATTTATGTGGGTAAACAATTTTAATAGTGCAACGGTAATAATTTATTAGTTTAAAATGCTTACTGGCTGCTTAAGAAATGTATTGCATACTTAAAGGCGAGGGTTTGTATTATATTGTATAGTATATATTTAGGAGAAATGTTTTTGAAATAAAACTTTTTCGAAATTAACAACATTTTTATGATGATTATTATTTAACATTTTGAGATAATTGCTTGAAAAAAGGACTTTTTCAAAAAGAAATAAGTAATTTATACTTTAGGGTTATAATATTTATACAATTTGTGAAAAATCGCTCTTAAATATTCCACATAGGTTATAAAAAGTACGTCGAAATAGTATATCACTTTTTCCGGAGTTTTATAAAAGTTAAATAATAGTTTATTTCTTGTTCAGTTCTAGTTCGGTTCTAGTTCAGTTCTAGTTCAGTTCTAGTTCAGTTCTAGTTCAGTTCTAGTTCAGTTCTAGTTCAGTTCTAGTTCAGTTCTAGTTCAGTTCTAGTTCAGTTCTAGTTCAGTTCTAGTTCAGTTCTAGTTCAGTTCTAGTTCAGTTCTAGTTCAGTTCTAGTTCAGTTCTAGTTCAGTTCTAGTTCAGTTCTAGTTCAGTTCTAGTTCAGTTCTAGTTCAGTTCTAGTTCAGTTCTAGTTCAGTTCTAGTTCAGTTCTAGTTCAGTTCTAGTTCAGTTCTAGTTCAGTTCTAGTTCAGTTCTAGTTCAGTTCTAGTTCAGTTCTAGTTCAGTTCTAGTTTAGTTCTAGTTCAGTTCTAGTTCAGTTCTAGTTCAGTTCTAGTTCAGTTCTTAGTTCAGTTCAGTTCAGTTCTAGTTCAGTTCTAGTTCAGTTCTAGTTCAGTTCTAGTTGAGTTCTAGTTCAGTTCTAGTTCAGTTCTAGTTCAGTTCTAGTTCAGTTCTAGTTCAGTTCTAGTCAGTTCTAGTTCAGTTCTAGTTTCAGTTTCTAGTTCAGTTCTAGTTCAGTTCTAGTTCAGTTCTAGTTCAGTTCTAGTTTCAGTTTCTAGTTCAGTTCTAGTTCAGTCTAGTTCAGTTCTAGTTCAGTTCTAGTTCAGTCTAGTTAGTTCAGTTCTAGTTCAGTTCTAGTTCAGTTCTAGTTTCAGTTCTAGTTCAGTTCTAGTTCAGTTCTAGTTCAGTCTAGTTCAGTTTTCTAGTTCAGTTCTAGTTCAGTTCTAGTTCAGTTCTAGTTCAGTTCTAGTTCAGTTCTAGTTCAGTTCTAGTTTCAGTTCTAGTTCAGTTCTAGTTCAGTTCTAGTTCAGTTCTAGTTCTAGTTCAGTTCTAGTTCAGTTCTAGTTCAGTTCTAGTTCAGTTCTAGTTCAGTTCTAGTTCAGTTCTAGTTCGTTCTAGTTCAGTTCTAGTTCAGTTCTAGTTCAGTTCAGTCAGTCTAGTCAGTTCTAGTTCAGTTCTAGTTCAGTTCTAGTTCAGTTCTAGTTCAGTTCTAGTTCAGTTCTAGTTCAGTTCTAGTTCAGTTCTAGTTCAGTTCTAGTTCAGTTTCTAGTTCAGTTCTAGTTCAGTTCTAGTTCAGTTCTAGTTCAGTTCTAGTTCAGTTCTAGTTCAGTTCTAGTTCAGTTCTAGTTCAGTTTCTAGTCAGTTCTAGTTCAGTTCTAGTTCAGTTATAGTTCAGTTCTAGTTCAGTTCTAGTTCAGTTCTAGTTCAGTTTCGTCAGTTCTAGTTCAGTTCTAGTTCAGTTCTAGTTCAGTTCTAGTTCAGTTCTAGTTCAGTTCTGTTCAGTTCTAGTTCAGTTCTAGTTCAGTTCTAGTTCAGTCTAGTTCAGTTCTAGTTCAGTTCTAGTTCAGTTCTAGTTCAGTTCTAGTCAGTTCTAGTTCAGTTCTAGTTCAGTTCTAGTTCAGTTCTAGTTCAGTAGTTCAGTTCTAGTTCAGTTCTAGTTCAGTTCTAGTTCAGTTCTAGTTCAGTTCTAGTTCAGTTCTAGTTCAGTTCTAGTTCAGTTCTAGTTCAGTTCTAGTTCAGTTCTAGTTCAGTTCTAGTTCAGTTCTAGTTCAGTTCTAGTTCAGTTCTAGTTCAGTTCTAGTTCAGTTCTAGTTCAGTTCTAGTTCAGTTCTAGTTCAGTTCTAGTTTAGTTCTACTTTAGTTCTACTTCAGTTCTACTTCAGTTCTACTTCAGTTCTAGTTTATTAAGTTAACTCTGATTTAGTATAGATAGTTCTACATTTGCATGAATTTCCCAAAACTATTTAAAACAACCCTCGTTACAAATGTGTAAAATACTATCCTTTAACACTCCTGTCTTTTCGATTGCCTTGATTAAGTTTTATCTACTTCCGGTTTACTAGATTTTTGTTGTTGTTTATTATGGGTTCAATTTTAGTTTATTTCTTAAAAAATTGTTTAAGCAAACTATTCATACTAAACAAGGTTTTTTAAGTTCCTCAATATGAACTAAAAATTCATATTTATTAAAATTTAAAGTTTACTAGGAGATTGGTGGTTACCTTCTAGAAAATTTAATATACAACATGGTATTGAAATAAATATACAAAAAACATATGTAGCATACAATTATAAATAAAATAAATATTTGCTTTTGTTTAAAATGAAAAATATTTTTCTATATACTGTAGGTGGAGAAGCTGTAATAAATTTGCAATGAACATTTTTCTAGTGTTAAATGTGAATAGAGGTTTTGTAAAAGGTAGAGAAAGAAATTATTCAGTTGCACATATTCTAATTTGTAATTTTAGAAAAAAAAGTTTGTTTGAAAATATGTTCGGTTATGCAATTTCATGGCTTTAGAAAATGGTGCCTACATTTAGGATTTAAAGTTTGAGAAAATATTTAACCTTTTTTGGGGTTTATATTTATGATTTAAATTAGCTTTGGCTTACTTTTTTTACTTTCTCTAGAGACGTTTTTTATTGCTTTATCGAACATTAAGAAACATTGCCTACTTCCAGGCTAATTCTTGGTTTATATTAAAGTTCATTTTTCGGACAAAAATTTGCAGAAATTTATTGAAAATCTGAAGCTTCTTAGGTGTAATTGGATTTTTTGTTTATAACAAAAAAATTAATCTTTTGAAAAATTTAAAACAAATTTTTCAAAAGATGTTCAAAGACGTATAAGTTATATATTAGAATATATAAAAACGTTAAAATGGAAATAATTGTATGATAAAGTTTGGCTCGACACTGGTCCATAATAGTAGGGTTTTATTTTGTTATTTTTTAAAATTTTTGTGTGAATTTCTTTAAACTTCTTGAAAATGAAAATTCATTTATTTCTGTTCGATTTGAAGTTAAAATACGCATTAAGAGTTTAATTGCCAAAAAAATAAATAACTTACTAACACTAATAAAAATTTGATTATTCAAGAATTTAAAAATTATTTCAAAGGATTATAAAAGTTAATTTTTTAAAAAAATCTTCATTTTAGGAATATTTTTAAAATTAATTAAATTTAATAAATCTTATATCACTTGAAACTGAAACTATTTTAAAAGCAACCATGACGACTAAAAATATGTATATTTTTTAAAACTTACATTTTACTCAATTATATTTTATTGATTGTAACCAACAAACAGATTTTTTTTGTTTAATAAAACCTGCCGTTTTTATTTAAGAAAAAAATTTCCTGTTTTTATCAACTTTAAACCTTTACTTTACAGCGACCAACTCTTAAGGGCACAACGATAAAAATGCAAATAAAATATAACAATAAAATGAAATTATTATTATGCATTTGATTTCTACTCCATAACATACAAACTGACCACAACTATACAAATATAAAAAGTTAAGGGATAAATATGTAAAAAAAATATATAATTAAATTTTCAAATAAAATTCAATTAACGCGCAGGTTTAAATTGCTACACTAAACGCACCACACAAATTATTGCAAACAACAGCAGCAACAAATAAAAAAATGCACTTGTTGCCACTTTGGAATACAAACACACTTAAACACTACTTCTACCAACACTATTACGTACTTTATTTTAATATTTATTAAACACTCTCTTGATACTTTGCTCTCTTTTAGTTGTGTTAAATGCACCACAGTATTTGTTAAAGTTTTTTTTTTTTTATTTCAAATTTTTCTTTTAAACTTAGACGACGTTGTGCATTAACCTGTTGATTGACTATAAATGCTTTCAAACTGTTTCAACATCATTTATTTATACCGTTTTAAACAGTTGTGACACAAACAAACGAACAATCATCACTCGTATGGAAATTCGAATCTCAACTCATAAATGAACGAACGTACGAACGAACAGAAATCAACACCCAACACTTGTCATACGTAGCGGATACGTAATGCACAAATACTCATACGTTCTGTTAAAAATTCACGAACATGATGAAATTGTATTTAGTTGTGTATAGAAAGGGGAGAGTGCAAAAAAAAAAAAAACGGAATAAAAATACGAAGTTATAAAAACGATTAATAACGAAAACATTTGAATGTTTAAACAACAAAAACAAGCGGAAATCTACTCATACATTAGCAATGTTATGTAGGAGACAGACCCCAATTACACATAAACTTATGAATACAAACTCATACTTTTGAAGATATGTAATGACAGTGGACTAGACTATTGACTAGAACGGTAAAGAACTAGACTATAGACTAGACTAATAACTAGACTATAGACTAGACTATAGACTAGACTATAGACTAGACTATAGACTAGACTATAGGACTAGACTATAGACTAGACTATAGACTAGACTATAGACTAGACTATAGACTAGACTATAGACTAGACTATAGGACTAGGACTATAGACTAGACTATAGACTAGACTATAGACTAGACTATAGACTAGACTATAGACTGACTATAGACTAGACTATAGACTAGACTATAGACTAGACTATAGATAGACTATAGACTAGAATTATTAGACTAGACTATAGACTAGACTATAGACTAGACTATAGACAACTATAGACTAGACTATAGCTAGACTATAGACTAGACTATAGACTAGACTATGACTAGACTATAGACTAGACTATAGACTAGACTATAGACTAGACTATATACTGGACTTAGACTAGACTATAGACTAGACTATAGACTAGACTATAGACTAGACTATAGACTAGACTATAGACTAGACTAGGACTAGACTATAGACTAGACTATATACTAGACTATAGACTAGACTATAGACTATAGACTAGACTAGAGACTAAGACTATAGACTAGACTATAGACTAGACTATAGACTAGACTATAGACTAGACTATAGACTAGGACTATAGACTGTAGACTAATAGACTAGACTATAGACTAGACTATAGACTAGACTATAGACTAGACTATAGACTCGACTATAGACTAGACTGTAGACTAGACTATAGACTAGACTATAGACTAGACTGTAGACTAGACTATAGACTAGACTATAGACTAGACTATAGACTAGACTAAAGACTAGACTATAGACTAGACTATAGACTAGACTATAGACTAGACTATAGACTAGACTATAGACTAGACTATAGACTAGACTATAGACTAGACTATAGACTAGACTATAGACTAGACTATAGACTAGACTATAGACTAGACTATAGACTAGACTATAGACTAGACTATAGACTAGACTATAGACTAGACTATAGACTAGACTATAGACTAGACTATAGACTAGACTATAGACTAGACTATAGACTAGACTATAGACTAGACTATAGACTAGACTATAGACTAGACTATAGACTAGACTATAGACTAGACTATAGACTAGACTATAGACTAGACTATAGACTAGACTATAGACTAGACTATAGACTAGACTATAGACTAGACTATAGACTAGACTATAGACTAGACTATAGACTAGACTATAGACTAGACTATAGACTAGACTATAGACTAGACTATAGACTAGACTATAGACTAGACTATAGACTAGACTATAGACTAGACTATAGACTAGACTATAGACTAGACTATAGACTAGACTAGACTATAGACTAGACTATAGACTAGACTATAGACTAGACTAGACTATAGACTAGACTATAGACTAGACTATAGACTAGACTATAGACTAGACTATAGACTAGACTATAGACTAGACTATAGACTAGACTATAGACTAGACTATAGACTATACTATAGACTATACTATAGACTAGACTATAGACTAGACTATAGACTAGACCATAGACTAGACTATAGACTAGACCATAGACTAGACCATAGACTAGACTATAGACTAGACTATAGACTAGACTATAGACTAGACCATAGACTAGACCATAGACTAGACTATAGACTAGACTATAGACTAGACTATAGACTAGACTATAGACTAGACTATAGACTAGACTATAGACTAGACTATAGACTAGACTATAGACTATAGACTAGGACTATAGACTAGACTATAGACTAGACTATAGACTAGACTATAGACTAGACTATAGACTAGACTATAGACTAGACTATAGACTAGACTATAGACTAGACTATAGACTAGACTATAGACTAGACTATAGACTAGCTATAGACTAGACTATAGACTAGACTATAGACTAGACTATAGACTAGACTATAGACTAGACTATAGACTAGACTATAGACTAGACTATAGACTAGACTATAGACTAGACTATAGACTAGACTATAGACTAGACTATAGACTAGACTATAGACTAGACTATAGACTAGACTATAGACTAGACTATAGACTAGACTATAGACTAGACTATAGACTAGACTATAGACTAGACTATAGACTAGACTATAGACTAGACTATAGACTAGACTATAGACTAGACTATAGACTAGACTATAGACTAGACTATAGACTAGACTATAGACTAGACTATAAGACTAGACTATATGACTAGACTATAGACTAGACTATAGACTAGACTATAGACTAGACTATAGACTAGACTATAGACTAGACTATAGACTAGACTATAGACTAGGACTATAGACTAGACTATAGACTAGACTATAGACTAGACTATAGACTAGACTATAGACTAGACTATAGACTACTATAGACTAGACTATACTATAGACTAGACATAGACTAGACTATAGACTAGACTATAGACTAGACTAGACTAGACTAAACTAGACTATAGACTAGACTATAGACTAGATTATAGACTAGACTATAGACTAGACTATAGACTAGATTGTAGACTAGATTATAGACTAGACTATAGACTAGACTATTGGCTAGACTATAGACTAGACTATAGACTAGACTATAGACTAGACTATAGACTAGACTATAGACTAGACTATAGACTAGACTATAGACTAGACTATAGGAGGCGAAACTATTTCGGGACTATAATGTGGCGGGTATAAGTACTTTTTGCAAATAATATTATTTTAAATTTTATCCGTTTGTCCCACTGTACCTGCGCAGGAAATAGCTAAAACAGTGTTGCCTACACATTATTGTCGTTTTTATCAAAAGGTATGAATGCACGTTCACATTGAAATATGTTTTTGCTATTTTGTTTTATTTATTCACATGAACATGTTTATTTAACACCCAAAAAAGTACAAAAACAAACATTTTATGTTTTCATACTTACATATTTCTTGTTGTTTTTGTTGTTACTCATACATGAGTGAAAATAACTTTAAAAATTAATGGGATTAAGAAAATTCCTCATACGTATGCGTTTAAAATGACATTTTCAAAAAACATAAAAAACTATTTGTTCTCTTTGTCTTACACGTATGTGGTACATTTACGTTCAGAACACTTGTAATATACAAATGTTTAAACATACTTACATATGTATGTATGAAAGCATGTATTAAGTTTTTAATTCAAAAAAACCAAAATGGAATTTTAACGGTTATTATAGTTTTCATTTTTGTATTGCCTTGTTTTATTCCTGTCGTGTTATTATTCATATTATTAAAAATAATAATATGTAGTTGTAGTAGTGTTAATAATCATTGGATTTTAGTACAATTTAATAATTGAAAACATTTTATTTTTAAATATTTTTTTAACCATATTGTTGATGGTGTGGTATAATTGGGCGTTATATTTATATTTTTAAAATTTAACATGAAGTAATTGAATTATTTTCGGTTGTTAGTAGAAAAAATGTTTTTGAATTGTTATTTTTTAAAGATTTTTTTTCTTAGGAAATTATAGACAATTTAGTGTGACTGTGAAAAATTTTCAAATGTTTAAATTTTAAGCATGTTTCTTTTTAATGAAAAAAATTATCGGAAAAATAAGGTTTCAAAATACAAAAAAGTTAAATTGGGATGTTATTAGAAGCAAAAATCTAAAAATCCCATGAGGAATTAAAGAAATTTTGAACATAATTTTCTAGGAGGTTCAATCCATCTAAATGATACTTCTATTCAATTAAATTAAGTTTTACAAAAAAATATATAAAGATATCACTGTGTTTTTTACATGTCATTCATATGTATTTGAAATTCTTATCTATTAACAGTCATTTGATTCTATTTAGTTTATTGCTGATACCTTTATAAACTATTAAATAACATTAGTTAATAGCAAATTTAACAAATGCACCGATTATATTTTAACTAGAAACGACAAGCCACTGATTGATAATTGTATTCCATTCATAAATTAACATGAAATGATAATGATAAATAAATAACTTTAACTAGATACATAATAGAAATAGAGTAGCTCCAAAAATGGGGCAAAAGAATTTCCCCCACACACATCCAAATTGTCTGTCATTTCAAAATAAATTCAATCGGACAGAGGAATTGTTGTTGGGTACTTTATATGCGGCTAATATCAAATATGGCCCTACCTTCATACAGTGTGGTAGATAGATTTTGGTCTTGTAAAACTTAAATTAATCGGCGCACTGATATTTTCAAGGCTCTAACTAGCGTTGGAATCATTTAGTGGTCTTGAAATTCATATCCATACTTTACAATATAATTTCTGGGTGCATTATAACCAAAATTAGGCCCTATCACTACGTGGTAGTTAGTTGTGTTCTTATAACAAAAACCTGTTTATCGGGCTAAAAAGAAATAAAATTTTCTATGAAAATAAAATATAATAAAAATTTTCTATTGAAAGAAAATTTATTGAAAATTTTATATGGAAACAAAACTTATTAAAAATTTTCTATGAAAAA